ACTCCTAAGCCTTGTGGACGCCTTCCCAGAAGAGTTGAAGCTGTTATAGTAGCTGGAAAGGGTGGGCCACCTCAATATTGAACCCTACGAACTAAGACTGGGATGCCATTAAAAGCTGCCTTGAAAGACATCTATTGATCATAAAAAATATGCAGTAGAGTAGTGTCTCTATTATTGTGTACTTTCCATAAAAAAATGTCCATAATAAACTCAGAGCAAAGTAGTGTAAAAGGAAAGAAAAGTCTAAAGTCACACACACAGCAAGTACGGTGTGTGCATAGCCCGTGGCAGAAGTTTTCTATCAGCCCAGAGGTGTACAGAAATATAAAGGCCTGTGCTGTCCCTGGCAATGGAAGGACTACGGCTCTCATAGATACAATTGAAGAAAAGTAAAGATGCAGGAATAGTGGCTCAGACTAGCAGTTTGCCAGTTCTGGCCTTTGTCACAAGGGCTCCTGTGCCACACTGTCTGTTGGCTAAAGTTAGAATAAGATGTGTTAAGCTCACCATACACATTACAATGTGATTATACAATCTCTTAGCTCTACCAACTATGTATTACAAGGGCTTTGATGCACAAGATTTGATGCAGATTGATTGGGTAGTTTAGGTTGCCTCTCATATTACGTAGTGTTAAGGTGCCCATACACTGCACGATGCTTGTACGAGAATCGTGGGAAATCCCGCGATCGTATGAGAATCGTGCAGTGTATGGAAGGTGTGCGACCGTTTCTACTATACGGTCGCACGTCTTCCGTCGAACAAGCAGGCTGGAAAACCCACCGGGAATCGTACGATTCTCGGCGAGTTAGTGGCCTGCTTGTTCGACAACTGCCGAACGGGCCGGTGTGCGCACACTGCCCGTTTGCCGTCATCAGATGCCCGCCCCTCATTGCAGTCATCGATCGCAAGTACGATCTGCCTGTCCAAGATGGGCAGATCGTACGTTTTTTTAAGTACTTTACAACCCTCGCAAGACAAAAGTCTTGCGAGGGTTGTAAAGTGTATGGGCACCTTAAGTCAATCAAAAGTTAATTGTATATACACTCACCGGCCACTTTATTAGATACACCTGTTCAATTGCTTGGTAACAGAAATTGCTAACCAGCCAATCACATGGCAGCAACTTAATGCATTTAAGCCCCTAGATGTGGTGAAAATGACTTGCTGAAGTTCAAACGGAGCATCAGAATGGGGAAGAAATGGGATTTAAGTGACTTTGAATGGTTGTTGGTGCCAGGCGGACTGGTCTGAGTATTTCAGAAACTGCTGATCTGCTGGGATTTTCACACACAACCATCTCTCGGGTTTACAGATAATGGTCCGAACAAGAGAAAATATCCAGGGAGCGGCAGTTGTGTGGATGAAAATGCCTTGTTGATGTCAGAGGTCAGAGGAGAATGGGCAGACTGGTTTGAGATGATAGAAAGGCACTAGTAACTAAAATAACCACTCGTTACATCCGAGGTATGCAGAACACCATCTCTGAATGCACAACACTTCGAACCTTGAAGCAGATGGGCTACAGCAGCAGAAGACCACACTGGGAGCCACTCCTGCCGGCTAAGAACAGGAAACTGAGGCTACAGTTTGCAAGGGCTCACAAAATTGGACAATAGAAGATTGGTCTGATGAGTCTCAATTTCAGCTGCGACATTCAGATGGTTGGGTCAGAATTTGGCGTAAACAACATGAAAGCATGGATCCATCCTGCCTTGTATCAACTGTTCAGGCTGGTGATGGCGTGTAATGGTGTGGGGGATATTTTCTTGGCACACTTTGATGATGCTATCATGTCAATGTGGACCAAAGTCTATGAGGAATGTTTCCAACACCTTGTTGAATCTATGCCACAAAGAATTAAGGCCGTTCTGAAGGCAAAAGGGGGTCCAAACCGGTACTAGTAAGGTGTACCTAATAAAGTGGCCGGTGAGTGTAGATTGTATGGCGAGACTGTAGTCTGTATTGTGAGCTTAAAGGAGATTGTACAATCAGATTGTACGGTGTGAGGTGAACTTTAGTAAAGCTGTTCTGTGGGGAAAAAAACTAGGCTGCAAGTGCTGACCTCTACCTCTGAAAAAAACAGTTGCCTGGCTGTCATACTCATCCAGTGACTTGAAGCTAAACTTCAGGATAAGCAAATATTGTCTAAAGTCCTGTGTATTCTTCCTTGAATCATGGTGTGTTTTGTGTATTTATTCCAGATATGTGCAGTAATCCAGTTTGAAATTGGCCTCTGTGCAGGAGCTTCCAGTAATCAAGACCAGTTACTGCTGCTCTCTCCTTGTGCAGGGTGACTGGTCTTGTATCCACCCCTCCTGTAGTTTTCTACAGGCAGACTGTAGTGGGTGGAGGCTGCTGGGTCCCTCCCATAGCTCTGTTCTCTACACAGGCTATGTACAGCATCAGAGAAGCATAGACTAGGTGAGTATCAATGGGTCAGGGGCAGGGGCTTTGCACAGACACTGTCACTTTGCCCTGAATGTACAAGGTGACAATGTTTCTTTAAAGTCAACCTTACTTGTTTTTTAACCTTTAAAATGAAATGTCCTGCCTAAGAACAGACACCATGTGATTCCCGCTATTGCCTTTATCAGCCATTAAAGCCTCTACAGCCCCTCTCTGATTTAGATTCACTTTGTTACAAGGGCCTGACTTTCTGTGGCTTGATGGCTCCACCAAATACCACCCCCTGTCTAGTGAGAGTGCCCATACTGGCCACTGAGGCAGTCTCACTGGACAGTTGATTGGCAGATGTCAGAGCTTAGCCTTAAAATCAGGTGACGTCAGGTCCCAGCAACCAGGTAAAACTAAATCAGAGGAGCACAGGCAAAGCTTTTCTGGGTCATAAATGTAGCAACCCGTATCTTAAGGTACCCATACACCTGCCGATTATCGTACGATAATCGCAGGTGATCCCGCGATCGTACGATAATCGGCAGGTGTATGGAAGGCGTGCGACCGTTTCTACTATACGGTCGGACGTCTTTCGTCTCCCGGGCAGGCTTGAAAACCCATCGAGAATCATACGATTGTCGGCGGGTTAGTGGCGTTCAGCGGAGCGGGCTTACGATGATCGCAAGTACGATCTGCCTGTCCAAGATGGGCAGATCGTACGAGCTTTTAATTACTTTACAACCATCGCAAGACGAAAGTCGTGCGATGGTTGTAAAGTGTATGGCCAGCTTTATGGTGTCTGCTCTTAGGGAGCACTTTTATTTCAAATCCTTAAAATGAAGCACAGATTCACTTTAAAGCGGAACTTAACCTTATAAAAAAAACAAAAAACAATCAGGCAGGCTCTATATAGAGAAGAGTCATGCTACATTTCTTCTGTAATAAAACAAAATCACCGGCTTGTTCACAATCTTCTTTAGAATGCACAGCTCAGTGTACATTCTTGGCACAACTTGGTGCTGGAAAGTATGACTTCCCGGACGCATGCGCAGGAGCTACGTCATTCCAGCCAATCAAGATGGCAGAACCTGGAAGAAGACCGAGCGAAGAAGGCAGCGCTGGCGAGGGAGCAAGGAGAGTTGAGTTTAGTTCCACTGTAAGAACTGTCTTTTTTTTATCCCTAACGCCATCAATTAAACTCACACAGTAATATTCCAACTGTCCTTTTCCAGCGCAAGTTTGAATGTTACCGACATGTGAAAGAGTATTCTCCGTTCTCACACACTAGGCTGAATTCACAAAGCTAACATATCATGATAAGGAGCCCAATTTTCAAAAACGATTCAAATGCGATGTGGAAATTACAGACACATGGCGAAATAAAATCTTTATCTTTGTGTTAAAGTGACATTAAAGGCTAATTTGTTTCCCTTCCCCCCAATGTTAGTGTCAGGACTTACCTTAAATGATGTCTCTTAATCCGATCTTCTTCTTCTTTCCTGTCATTTTCAGCTGTCTCTCCAGCGCTGGTGCGGGTCTCCGATCCAGCGCTGGCTCCTCTGTCCTCCTCTTCTCCCATGTCCCACGGAGTCTGTGCGGGTGCACGCTGCTCCATAGACTTACCTTGCGTCTCTCCTCGTCTCCCGGCCGAGCATCTGAACTGCCCATGCACCCGCCCCAAGATCCTTTCCGGCCGCCCGAGACATTTTCAGATGTTCGGACAGGAGCGCGTGGCGGAGACACAGGTAAGTATTACCCCTTTGAATTTTTTTTTTTTTTATCGTTTTGCATAACTATACTGTTTGCTGGCAGTAGATATATACAAAAACATGCGAGGGTTTAAAAACCCTTTAAAGCTTTGCGAATTGAGCCTTATGATACATAAGGTCCATTATAGCCCCATAACCATTTGCACCTGGGCCTACTAAGCACTGAGTTTGCAGCAGTGCCAACAAGTGCACTAGCAGGATTGGTAACGTCTGGTCACACAGACATCGACTGATGTTTTATTTACATGCCAAGGCTGTTTTTTACCTTGTTGATCGGCCCTTACCTCTGTTAATGCTATTCTTTACTCTAAATATTTTCATGCCACGCACACTGTGTTAAGGCAGCTCATTCACCTTGAATACTACTACACATAGACAAGTGCAGATGTGATTGTTGTTGCGGTACATGTGCATTGAGGTGATTTCAGAATGAATGGCAATGCACATATACTGCTTGTTTACATGTGTTGCAGTAATGGGCATTACATGTTTTTATGCATGTGACCACAACGCAAAGGTGCAAAACCACCTCACTATAGACTACAGTAGCAGTAAGTCCCTTTATTCGCTGCACTAGGGAAGGGTGCATGAAAAATGACACAGAACAACTATTATGTTGACAAAGTAGATGCTAATTCTATAACATAAAAACAGAACATTTTTCAGTTATTGAAATTACCTTGCCCTTTAAAGCTTGACATGTAGCCTGTTTTGAACTATTCAAATGGAAACATATTAACTTGAGAGTCTTTGAGCACAGGGAGTGGCAGTATTCACCCCCACACAAAATACCATTTAAGACACCAATAAACATTGTTCTTAGTGAATACTTACTGTTGCTGGACTTCAAGTCTCTGTGGATGATAGGTACGATTGCCTCATCGTGAAGATACTTCATGCCTCGAGCGATCTGCACTGCCCAGTTGACCAATACGTGAGCTGGGACCTTTTTCCCTGCCAGAGCCCGATGTAATGGTCCCCCTCGAGCATACTCCATGACCAAGCATAGATGAGGGGGCGTCAAGCACACTCCTTTCAAGGCTATAATGTTGGGGTGTCGTAGCATGCAAAACAGCTTGGCCTCCTGTCTGACATTTTCAGCTGTGACACTTATGTCTTCATCAGGGTCATGACGTACTGCCTTTATTGCCATCTCTTCATCTCTCCATATTCCCTTGTAGACCTTCCCGAAACCCCCTACACCAATAATCTCCTCAAGCTCCAGCTCTTCAAACTTTATCTGCAGTGGGTGCGGGAAGTCCTTTGGGGTACATCTCAAAGTAGTATACTTAAGGTCACTGACCACATAGTTACTGGGAAATATAAGGCACAGGTAAGTATTACCCCTTTGAATTTTTTTTTTTTTTATCGTTTTGCATAACTATACTGTTTGCTGGCAGTAGATATATACAAAAACATGCGAGGGTTTAAAAACCCTTTAAAGCTTTGCGAATTGAGCCTTATGATACATAAGGTCCATTATAGCCCCATAACCATTTGCACCTGGGCCTACTAAGCACTGAGTTTGCAGCAGTGCCAACAAGTGCACTAGCAGGATTGGTAACGTCTGGTCACACAGACATCGACTGATGTTTTATTTACATGCCAAGGCTGTTTTTTACCTTGTTGATCGGCCCTTACCTCTGTTAATGCTATTCTTTACTCTAAATATTTTCATGCCACGCACACTGTGTTAAGGCAGCTCATTCACCTTGAATACTACTACACATAGACAAGTGCAGATGTGATTGTTGTTGCGGTACATGTGCATTGAGGTGATTTCAGAATGAATGGCAATGCACATATACTGCTTGTTTACATGTGTTGCAGTAATGGGCATTACATGTTTTTATGCATGTGACCACAACGCAAAGGTGCAAAACCACCTCACTATAGACTACAGTAGCAGTAAGTCCCTTTATTCGCTGCACTAGGGAAGGGTGCATGAAAAATGACACAGAACAACTATTATGTTGACAAAGTAGATGCTAATTCTATAACATAAAAACAGAACATTTTTCAGTTATTGAAATTACCTTGCCCTTTAAAGCTTGACATGTAGCCTGTTTTGAACTATTCAAATGGAAACATATTAACTTGAGAGTCTTTGAGCACAGGGAGTGGCAGTATTCACCCCCACACAAAATACCATTTAAGACACCAATAAACATTGTTCTTAGTGAATACTTACTGTTGCTGGACTTCAAGTCTCTGTGGATGATAGGTACGATTGCCTCATCGTGAAGATACTTCATGCCTCGAGCGATCTGCACTGCCCAGTTGACCAATACGTGAGCTGGGACCTTTTTCCCTGCCAGAGCCCGATGTAATGGTCCCCCTCGAGCATACTCCATGACCAAGCATAGATGAGGGGGCGTCAAGCACACTCCTTTCAAGGCTATAATGTTGGGGTGTCGTAGCATGCAAAACAGCTTGGCCTCCTGTCTGACATTTTCAGCTGTGACACTTATGTCTTCATCAGGGTCATGACGTACTGCCTTTATTGCCATCTCTTCATCTCTCCATATTCCCTTGTAGACCTTCCCGAAACCCCCTACACCAATAATCTCCTCAAGCTCCAGCTCTTCAAACTTTATCTGCAGTGGGTGCGGGAAGTCCTTTGGGGTACATCTCAAAGTAGTATACTTAAGGTCACTGACCACATAGTTACTGGGAAATATGCCCACTTTGTCTCGAACTTTTCCTGTCCACCAGCCTTCATCCCCAGAGACTGTAGAGTCCTTGGAGAGGATCTCCACCAGGTCCCCCCTCCGCAACGTCAATTCCTCTTCTGCCGTAGCCTCATAATCAAAAACAGCCGTCCACAAAGGGTTGGAAACCCCATAGCTCTGTACCTCATGCCACATCCCATTTTCTTTTGGGTCTTTAGAGTTTTGCCACAAGATAGTCTCATTTTTCGGAAGGCCATCCATACCTGCTGCTCAAGGTAGGATACTAGTTCACTCCATGTTAATCCCCAGGGTGGACAAGGACCATGTATCCATCATAAAGACATTCAAAGACGTCCAAGACCAGCTGTCCATTAAATGGTTCTTGAATGACCCATAAAAGGCCTCCATCGGTCATCTTACCATCCACTGTCAAACAGAAACATTCTGAACAAAAGTTGAACAAACGGGCAGAACCTTTCAGGTGAGTCAGCATGGACTTAAAATGAAGGTGGCTCAAACTGTCTATAAATCCCTGAGCAGCAAGTCTTGAGCTTCAAACAGTAACTGTGAGGGATTAAGAAAATCATAAGGTAAATCCTCAGTACAACTATTAAAGACAACTTCAAATGAACAGAGGAACACTTTTTTTTTTACTTTGTCCACACTTATATCAGAGGGCCTGTGTTTACCTGCAAGCTTGCCAGTGTACAGACTCTTTAGTTGTGACATTAACCTTGCGAAAGAGTTAACTCCAAGTCTGTGTTTATTTGATCTAAAGAAATATGATGCTTGTGTGTGACACTGGCGGGTCTACCTGTCACACAGCTTCAAGTTAGGGATTAGGGTTACATCTGTGAGATACCGAACATGCAGAGATCTTCTGGATGTCTTGGCTATTACTATGTACAACTACAAGCCTTCCTGTCTGGTGGGTAAACATTGAAGAACAGGATCAACCCATGTTGGCACCGTTATCTAACACAGAAGACCTTCTACCTAACCATCATTATCAAGCCATGATTAGCCAGTGCCGGTTCTGATATCTAATATAGAAGAACTTCTAACTAACAACCACTAACAAGACATGATCAGTCAGTGCTGGTTCCTTGATCCAATACAAAAGAACATCTAAGTAACCATCACTAACCAGACATGGTCAGCCAGTGCCAGTTCTGATATCTAATACAGAAGAACTTTTACCTAACCATTACTAACAAGACATGATTAGCCAGTGTCGGCTCTGATACATAATACAGAAGAACTTCTAACTAACATGACATAATCAGCCAGTGCTGGTTCCGATATCAATTACAGAAGAACTTCTAACTAACCATCACTAACAAGACATGATCAGCAGGTGCAGGTTCTGATATTTAATACAGAAGAACTTCTACCTAACATGACATAATCAGCCAGTGCTGGTTCTTATATCTAATACAGAAGAACTTCTAACTAACCATCACTAACAAGACATGATCAGCCAGTCCCGTTTCCGATATCTAATAAAGGAGAACATCTAACTACCCATCACTAACAAGACATTATCAGCCAGTGCTGGTTCCGATATCTAATACAGGAGAACTTCTAACTACCCATCACTAACAAGACTTGACCAGCCAGTGCCAGTTCCGATATCTAATACAGAAGAACTTCCAACTACATATCACTAACAAGATATGATCATCCAGTGCTGGTTCCAATATCTAATATAGAAGAACTTCCAACTAACCATCAATGGCAAGACATGATCAGCCAGTGCCGGTTCCGATATCTAATACAGAAGAACTTCCAACTACATATCACTAACAAGATATGATCATCCAGTGCTGGTTCCAATATCTAATATAGAAGAACTTCCAACTAACCATCAATGGCAAGACATGATCAGCCAGTGCCGGTTCCGATATCTAATACAGAAGAACTTCCAACTAACCATCACTGACAAGACATGATCAGCCAGTGCCGGTTCCGATATCTAATACAGAAGAACTTCTAACTACCCATCACTAACAAGACATGATCAGCCAGTGCCGGTTCCGATATCTAATACAGAAGAACTTCTAACTACCCATCACTAACAAGACATGATCAGCCAGTACCGGTTCCGATATCTAATACAGGAGAACTAATTAACCATCACTAACGAGGCATGATCAGCCAGTGCTGGTTCTGATATCTAACAGAGATTTCTTGATTGGACAGTTTTATCATGACAGGATCTGACAGCGAGGCTCCTATATCTAATAAAGAGATATGCTGACTGGATATAATCAGGATAGTGCTGCTTCATAGATGTAAAATTGAAGCGTCCCCTGGCTGGATATTATTGATCTGGTTTCCTTATATAATATGCAGAGATCTCCAGAATAGATATTATCCAGATGGGATCTGTGATGGGAATTGTATCTAATAGAGATAGCGATAGTCCTATTGCTTATTATAATCAGGGCACAATCAAGACAGTGCTGGTTTCTGTAGCTAATATAGACAGATCTGTCTGACAGTATTATCAGAACATAATATTACTACAGCATAGGTTTGCAGTGCTCCCTTACGGCCCTGGTTTTCTCTTTAAATAAAAGGTATCATTATTATACAGGATTGTGATGAATGCTTACCTACTAGGTCCATCCTGAGCGCCTGGCACCACAGCCTACACAGAGATGCAGCATGTAAGGATCAGCAACAGCAGCCGGTGTCTTGCCTGTGAAAATATCATTACACTTATCATATTGTCTGCAGCATCACGGTGTGGTCCCCCTCCAGGACAAGGGGCAGATGGGAGACGTCTTGCCTATCACCTGCAGGAATTCAGCCCCTTTCTCTGGGCAATGGTTTCCATTCACCTTACACAGGCTGTCAGCTGTTCCAAGCAGAACAGATACACAGCCACCCCCCTCACCTCCCAGCCTCTGCCGTGCTGCATTGTGGGAGTTGTAGTTTTGCCTTTGGTGCAGCGAGACAATTGCACATTGTGACCAGCAGGCTGTGCCATGTGGTCTCTGCAGGCCCAGGAAGCATTCCATAAAAACGAGTGACATGTAGAAAATCATTTACTACGTCCGTCTCGCTTTAATGTATTCAGATTTGCTGCAGTGTCTGTATCCTGAAAATACCCTGCAAGCAGTCATTATTTTAATATATATGTATATGAAGCTCATAAAAATATACATCTACAGCTCAATAAAATATGTCACACAGTATACCATCCGTAATTTATATTCTGAGACTACCTTGCAGTATATGCCTGCCTCTAATAGGGCTTATTTCATAAAATGGTGCAAGGGACAAAGAGCAAAGAGCAGGGCATTTAGCAGCCAATCAGAATCCTTGTTACACAAGTCTTATGTCAGTAAAGTGAATTTTAACTGGTTGCCATGGGTGACTGCACTTAGCAGTTTGCTCTTTGTTTACTGAATAGGACAGATGAGGCTACGGTTACATCTAAGCATCATCACTGAGTCAGCTGGTGCAGGGAAGCTCAGTAAACGCGCAGCACATGTAAATGACCCGGATTCATATGTTTCCGTTTACACTTGTGCGCCTGCATTTGTAAGCACGTTTTTTTTTCATGCTTTGTAATGCGTTATGCATTTTTGTTTTGCCCAATGAAGGTGAAATAAAGTAAAGGTTGCTAGGGGGTGGACTTGCTGTCATGCCCTTAAATGTGCAGAAATGCATGTTATATGAGTCTTTCATGAGCACTCATTGTTGTCTATGGGGCTAAAATTGCACACCAAAAGAAGCACCTGCACCATTTTGCAAGTCGCATGGAAGTGTGTTAACGGGCCGCATTGAAATTGGCGGCTTTTCCTTTTATTTCGTGTGATGGCCGAAGTGCTTTAAATGGCACAGGTGTGAACAGGGACATAAGCTGCAATGACACTATTCACATGTATGCTACAATGGTAGGTGTGCTTCAGTGCCATTATTTCTTAATGGCACCCCAAGGCACCTAGCCACCGCATGTGCATTGTACCACACCACACCATTTGGCAACCTATTTTTAATGCCACCCCAACTCATCTAACCATTGCATGGTAACCTATTCTTAATGCCACCCAAACACATCTAACCATTGCATGGTAACCTATTCTTAATGCCACCCAAACACATCTAACCATTGCATGGTAACCTATTCTTAATGCCACCCGAACACATCTATCCATTGCATGGTAACCTATTCTTAATGCCACCCCAAAACATCTAACCATTGCATGGTAACCTATTCTTAATGCCACCCCAACGCATCTAACCATTGCATGGTAACCTATTCTTAATGCCACCCGAACACATCTATCCATTGCATGGTAACCTATTCTTAATGCCACCCCAAAACATCTAACCATTGCATGGTAACCTATTCTTAATGCCACCCCAACACATCTAACCATTGCATCGTAACCTATTCTTAATGCCACCCCAACACATCTAACCATTGCATCGTAACCTATTCTTAATGCCACCCCAACACATCTAACCATTGCATCGTAACCTATTCTTAATGCCACCCCAACTCATCTAACCATTGCATGGTAACCTATTCTTAATGCCACCCGAACACATCTATCCATTGCATGGTAACCTATTCTTAATGCCACCCCAAAACATCTAACCATTGCATGGTAACCTATTCTTAATGCCACCCCAACTCATCTAACCATTGCATGGTAACCTATTCTTAATGCCACCCGAACACATCTATCCATTGCATGGTAGCCTATTCTTAATGCCACCCCAACGCATCTAACCATTGCATCGTAACCTATTCTTAATGCCACCCCAACACATCTAACCATTGCATCGTAACCTATTCTAAATGCCACCCCAATGCATCTATCCATTGCATCGTAACCTATTCTTAATGCCACCCCAATGCATCTAGCCATTGCCCGTGCATTGTATCACGCCATATCGTATGGTAACCTATTCTTAATGCCACCCCAATGCATCTAACCATTGCATGTGCATTGTATCACACCTCATTGCATGGTAACCTATTCCTAATGGTATCCCAACGCATCTAACCATTGCATGTGCATTGTATCACACCTCATTGCATGGTAACCTATTCCTAATGGTATCCCAACGCATCTAACCATTGCATGTGCATTGTATCACACCTCATTGCATGGTAACCTATTCCTAATGGTATCCCAACGCATCTAACCATTGCATGTGCATTGTATCACACCTCATTGCATGGTAACCTATTCCTAATGGTATCCCAACGCATCTAACCATTGCATGTGCATTGTGTCATACCACATTGCATGGTAGCCTTAATGGCATCGCAACGCATCTAGCCATCGCATGAGCTTTGTATCACACTACATTGCATAGTAACCTATTCTTAATGGCATCACAACGTATCTAGCCATAGCATGTGCGTTGTATCACACCATATCACATGTTAACCTATTACCATGCAATGTGGTGTTATGTGATTTTTATAAAA